AACTGCTAACTGCAAGGTTACACTATTTGCTTGTTGGGTTCTACAGTAATTTATAAACTTTGCCACCTCGGTTTCGTTGTAATTACATGACAATCGTTACTTTCCGTATGTATTATAAGATGTATTATACTGTCACGAGAACTTCAGATTTTTCAAGAACTTCAGGTGGCGTACCCTAATTCGTATGCAAACTGTACAATTTTGCATGCAAACCGCATGAAAATCACGTGGTTCCATTTGTTCACTGAGGTACTCATATGCGGTTACCTGCGCTATACTCAAATCCATCCGGTCTCATGGTTCCGTGTAAAGGCAAGAAAAAATATGAAAACGTGATTACGATGATTTCAGAGGCCTTGAATTTTGAAAATAAATTAGCTTATAGCTACCTATACCATAATTTTATGTCTCGTGTATACAGAATTATAAGACTTTATTTACCGATTGCGATATTAAAATTTCAAGTAATCCAAAAACATCTTTCTTCGCATATCAACGGCGCAACAAGGAATTATATTACGAAAATCATTATCAATATCCTAAATAACTGTCAACATCTCCGTTAAGAATTTCAAACGGGAAAAGACGTCCAAATTCAATTTTCGTTTTTTTTGTGTTTTTTTTTTATTTTATTTTTTTATTATTTTTTTTTCACTTTTCGTTCAATCATGTGATTAAATTGTTTCATTATTTTGGTCACATGACTTTACGATTTGACAGTGCTAATTTTTCCCAGTCAACTGGGAAACAACTGGGTTTTTTAACTAACCCCGCCCCGCGTAAAAGCGGACAGTATATTAATACAAGATTGAGATCATCAAAATTGAGATCATCAAGATTGAGATCATCAAATTGTTTCATCATTTTGGTCACATGACTTTACGATGTGACAGTGCTAATTATTCCCAGTCAGCTGTTTTCAAGCAACCCCGCCCCGCGTAAAAGCGGTCAGCATATTAGAAGATCATATTTTCGTTAAAAGAGAGATCATAAGTATTTATGGAGCTCTAAAATGAACATAAAACGTTTGCAATTAAACAAATATTTCCCATATTTTGTTGCATTGACCTTAGTTCGGATGTTTGTGACCTTGTTTACGTTTGAATAAATTAACTGTTGAATAACGAATTTCTGACGTTTAATTCAAAGCTACGCACCTGATTGGATAATAAAATTAGTAACCTATTTGACTGATGACAAAAATAAATTGATAACAAAAACATGAAGTCATGTGACCAAAATGATGAATTCCCATTTGAAATTCCTAGCGGCGATGTTGACAGTTTCGTGATTTTCGTAATATATATGCAAGTTTAGATATTTGTACGGTAGAAGTATGCATTGATAATAATAATTAGTATTTTTGCACAAGTAAACATAACAAATTCTACAAGTTGATTGGTCAAATTTGACGTATGAGGTGTTATATTCACCTTCAGGTGAACATATAACGGAACCGAAATTTTCAAAATGGCTGCTAGCCATTTTGTGGACGTTATACTGATAAAGAAATAAGCGAAATTAAAACAAATTCAGTCCCAAAAAACACAAAAATACTAAACAATTATTCGCTTCAGGCTCGGTGATTATTGGGGAATATTCACCTCGACTTTGTCTCGGCGAATACTCCCCGATAATCACCTCGCCTTCGGCGAATAATTGTTAAATTATTAGTACGCAAAGTATGTCACCAAAGTTGCTCAAACGTGTAAATATTTTTTAAAATTAATCGTATTTTTTATTTTTTTAGATCACTTACGAAAAACACGATAACCAGTGAAGAATGGAAATTAATAAACAACTTTTTTAAAATTATTAATTAAATAATGATTGGGGGATTAGATAGGGGCATACATACTAAATGAAATGTTATACTAAATGAAAGGTTATACTAAATAAAATTCGTTATACATTGAACCCGCGTGTTCCGTTTTTCTCTGATACTATTTAACCAAGAAACGTAAATTTTAGAGTATTTATCTACATTATACCTAAAAAATTCAAAGTAGACCAAAGTATCCAATCAGAAAGCTAAGTTAGTACCACATAAACATGAAATTTATCATCGAATCATGTCTTATACGTCATCGTATTTGACGCAGCGAGTGTTTCAATCATATCACCCATGTGATATAATACGCGACAAAATAAATGTTAAAAGAGCGAGTTTTCAAAAAGCTAGTTTTTATTGAAAATTTTGAAGAAAGTTTTTAAAACTATTGCAATCGATAGTTCTTGATTTGGTGTGACGCAAGTAGATAAGAGCGGATTTGCTTGATTAGTAAATTGATTGCGCTTGTTTTCCGACAAGAGGAAGACTATTCCAGAGTTTGTCCCTTTTTGTTTACAAATTCTTTTTTAGGTCGTTTTGCCAGGGCTAAATCAGTGTGACCATTTTGAAGGTCGTAATAAGTTTAAATAAGGCTTTCCCTGGTCAATGATTCTTCAAGTTCTGTCCATGCAGTGTAATCATTCAAGATTTTATACAACAGTATTTTGTACATCATCTTTGATTGTCGATTTGGTTGTGCATGTCTCGCTGTTTTGTCTGGATCAGAGTAAAGATTAGGGTCATCATCGATGAACAGCTAGACATTAATCTATAACCTGCCTTCGTTCAATAATCACCGCTGACTCTAATCTCAGCATGCGCAAGATAATGCGCAGGCGGGCAAAAATTGTCAAATACACCTTTATGGCCGTACTTCGTTCTCTTGTTCAAACTCTCTACTGATGAAGATACAAGGCTGGAGTGTCGAAACGTCTGCATGGACTTTGCATTTATTTTAAAAACGGGAGTAGCGAGCAAGAACATGACTGCAGGGTTTTCTTCAGGGATTTTTTAGGGCCCCAAAAACTCAATCTTGAATTGAGTTTTGAAACTTTAATTCTCACCAAAAGTTTCGGTGCAGTAAAAATGAAGTTGTTTGAGTTAAATTCGTGACGCGTGGAAATTAGTTTTCAGTTGGAAACCCGACAATTAAGAAAAAATGGATGGAATCCATTTCAAAACACAAGAAAAACCACGCATTTGCCATATTTGACCAGTTTATAGTGACCCGTAAGGCCGTTTTCCACTTCAAGCGTAACGTACCATAACGTATCAAAACAAATTTTAAATTTCAAAATTTAGTGAATGTTGATTGGCTAATACTTCCGTAGTACGCTAAAAAGTTGACTTGCGACGAACTTTATATTTTGATACTCGAAAACAACTTTTTATTTTGAAAACCCATCTTCAAGATGCGCATGCTCAGCGGTACGTTACGGTACGATACGGGCGAAGTGGAAAACGGCCTTAAGTGCCCCTGCTTTAACAGAGTGCGTCTCAACTACATTTATTGAGTACACGTGTCACTCCGTGTCAGCTCCCCGTGGGAGGCGGGGTGCAGCCGCCCCCAGCTGTTCAGCCAAACTCAATCTTCTCTGCAAAAACGGACCCAAGAGAAAATCCTGAAACAAGTTCAAGAACACCACACCAATATTTGTTATGCCTCAAAACAATAAATCACTAATACATTGCGCCCACAGGGCATAATTCCAATTTAAATGCACCCCATCTTTGCAAATTGCCTACAATATATGCATGCAGTAATAATGAAAACAGTTCCTAATACCCAAAGTACTGTAATTGGTAAGCCCATGCACTCATTGTTTTAAAAATACTAATACTCATGGTTAATCAGACCAATTTCCAGTTAATTTCAACCAACATTATGGTATATATTAGTATGACTGTTTAATAATCTTACTACTTTTTAAGTGAAAACAGTTCAGGTGGACAAAACTCTGCCGAGATCACTGTTGACCTTCTGCAGCAATTTGCTCCAGAGTTGTATTGGGTAATCCTCTGCTGTGAAGCTCAGGCTCACGCCTTTCTTAAACAGGAGGCAATACGAAGATCCACCAAATTGGAAGGTGCCTAGAGGATCACCTTTCTTCACTTCTTGCCCATAATAGACCTCAAGAGGACAACTTGAGATCTCAGCCATTCCAATTGCGACAAAGATCACGGTACCAATTTCTGGTTTCCCTGTGTCAATGTGGATTATCGCTCGGGTATCCACGTGACTGAGATAACGTTGTGAATATGTATTGGCTGTTGGATCATAACCCACCGAGAGAGCTTTTGCATAATACGCGCCTTCCTTGATGTATGCCTTGGTTATTGTACCAGCAACTGGTGCATGCCAGCGATGGTAGTTGGCAGTATCAAGAAAGGCTTGAAAGACAGTGCCTCCTACGTACTCTTCGGCCAAGGCATCATCATTCATCAGATGTTGTAAGCTATATGGCTATGACTTGATCCAAAATTCATCTCGCAGCTTCGGCTTTCTTTCGATGAAATACGGGAAGGCATCACAGGGGGAACAGATCGAGTATGGGTCATCAGGCCGATAAATGGGGCGGACTGTGTCATCCTTCAACTTTCTGGCAAAGAAATCATTCCATGACTTGAACCCATAATAAGGATCAGCCAAGTCGACTTTGTATGTCTCGAGGAAGTCTGGCATTGTTTCCAAAGCTTCCGGACACAGCCAACCATCCTATATAGGAAATTAAATTAATCAATCAAAAGCCTTTGCCAGCAGACAATTTGAGTCATTGAAAAACATGAATAAAATTCAGCTGAATTTCGACTCTACTTCATACTTATTGATAGCTTTGCAAGTGAAATGTTATCTTGAATTTTGTTTCTTGTCCTTAGACAACGGGTATATTTAATTAGTTCACAAGATAATAATATTCGTATGATGTTGTATTCTTATAGCAATTTATCAATCAATCAATCAATAAAATTTATTCTATGATTATTTGTTGATTGATCGAAAGAGTATGCGTTAATGCATAGTAAGGGCAAGCGAAAATCAGTCTAAAAGGATCTCAGTGTTCAATTTCGTTTACCTCCCTATTTAAGACCTCTCGTGAATCTGGACTGTTCAGAAGCTGCGCCCAGCTGTTGAGAATATCCCTGAAGCATTTGTTGACTTTATTGTTGATAAAAGCCATGGTTCCTGAAGGTGTTTCCATCACATATATCAGGTTGTGGTTGAGGGGTGCACTACCAAGCGTACTGCCGTACTCGGGAGCGCTGGTAATGATGGTCTGCATCTTCTGCAGCATATCCATGTAGTCTAAGATTGGATTCTCTTGAGGTGGGTCAAATTCTTGAGTGAACATAGTCGTGAAGAGCATGTTTACCTCTGGGTTGGTTTCAATCAGATCCTGTAAGGCTAACAGTGAAGGATGGGTAATTGTTTCAGCTACTCGGATTCCTTTCACAGCCTGACAAATGCGCTTCAGGTCTGCGGTGACCCAGCCTCCAAGTCTGTAGGTTTTCGACATTTTTTCAGGAAGTTATTCTGAAACAGAAATAAAAACATGTCTAAATTCATAAAGGTTTGCAGGGCAATGAATGTAACTAGGTATATTTCATTATGTAGCTCTAGTGAACGAGAGCATGCAAACAAGCAAAACCTTTTCATTTCTTTTTCGAAATGAGCGCACCAAAATTGATACAATTGAAGTCAATAACAGTCAAAAATGCAACAAATATTCAAAATAATTATCGACAATATAAGACTGATTGAATATGGATGGATTACAAAAATGGTGAAAAATTTCTTTTTGCCCCACAACTCCCATAATATTTTCCCTCTCGTACGTCTGTGAGTGCATATTTGGCTATACCCCGTAGGCAAACAATGGCCCTCTCCAATAGATACCTATCCCTTCCCCAATAAATTGTGCAATCTTTACATATTATATCGATCCATATTTCATTGAACCTAAGTCCAGGATTGTCACTTTTATAAAGCAATGTTGAATAGTTACACGCATATAAGTGGATAGCTACGAATATCACTTGTTTATACTCTTTGGTTATTGAAATAAACTCTCTGGGCATACTTTTTTAAAACAAGATAGTTAGCCTTTCTAATGAAGCCCCAAATCCGCCATTTTTGGGGTACTGTTTGCCCTCGTAAAAGATTCCGAGTAAATTCAAGCAACGTGAAAAGCGACCTTTAAAATTTGTAACTGTAAATTTACCGTTATACAAACAAACTACAATACTAAAAAGTTGTATTTCGTGGCGTGGAGACTCTCAAACGTTGGAGAGGCAATACCCCAAAACCCCTAAAACATAGCTTGTGTTTTAATTTAAATTAATTTGAGAAGGGAGATCTTAACAATTCATTCTTGCACAAAAAGTTACCAAGCATATGTAGAGGGGTCTTCAAAAAACATAAAACCACTACCATAGCTCCCCCTCCCCCTCCTTTATAGGTAAATTATGAACGCTCCCCTGGCAATTTCTGCGATATAAGCCAAACTGTTCTTGGCCAACAAAGCGCACGTAGAACATATATGTAGTAAATCATTGATGAATGAGAACACGTGCATGTATTCTTCGATCCATTAAGTCCGCGATATCGACTTTTTATCTTCATATTTGGCAAACCCCAGATTTGAAATCGTCACGCGCGAATTCAAGTCTATAATTTGCGCGTGACGTTTCAAAAATTGAGTTTTTCCTGTAGGCCTATACTGACAAATGACTGGAATTTGCCGCTGCAATGAAAATGTTTCGAAGTCAATTTTGTTCCAAGATTTGTAGGTAGCCTAGTGAGATGAAAAATCGATGACTTCAACTCGATACATGCTTACTTTAAAATCCTTCTATGACAAATAAACTTTGCTAAAAACATGCATATAATTACGTATTTCCAGGACCAAGATCTATTGAAAAATCTTTATATATGGAAAATATGTAGAATATTTTTATGACATGTACTGACAAAGATCCACGCTTACGAAACAAAACATTGCACTGGCAAATTAAAATGCCGGCAAGCACCGGAGTTTTCCGAGGGCCAAATCAATCTATAAAAGTCTATAAAATTCAGAAAAGTCCAAAGGTCGCTAAAAGATCTAAAAATAATTTTGCTAATATAGAATACAAAAGTTCCAAAAAATCCCACAAAGACAAAATACCCAAAGTCGCCAGGGGTCTCGTGCACTTTCTACGAGTGATAATTGTCACTCGGCATTTTCAACAGAACAAACCAGTTGTAGAAATCTGGGCAGTAAGTTTGAAAGAATATAAATAATATCTCAAGTAGAAAAATATGCTTTGATACCTGAACAGAATCTTCGTGGCACCTGATCTATCGAAGAGATTTCTAAGTGGTATCCAACAGAACTTGCAATGGTGGATCAATGGTGACTCGTCTAAATATATATGCTTCCATGCGCTAACTATCTGGCATTGTATTCTATCTTCAATGTATATTCGAATGGTCTGCATTTTCTCAAGTGCACAAACGAACAAACAGAACAATTTTACAACATCTCCCATGGAGCAGGCGAAGCGGCCGCTCGATCTTTTCATGTAATCGAGACGAAGTGGGAGCGGCACTAGAGAACTTCTTAGTTCAGACTCCTCGTGGAATCTTGTCGGACAGATATCCAGGCATGGGAACCGCTGTTACCTGTTTTGATTAGCTGTAATCAAATGTTGGCAGGGAAAATGTAAAGTGGTAGATGAAGGGCTTTTTGTGTAGACGAAAACCTCGAGTCTAAATTTTATACACTTGTTAAACCTCATGATCATGACAAGGAGCATCGGAATTGAGCTTGCACAACAGCTTTTACTATAGATAAATGTTTCATCATAAATCCATAGAAAACAGGTACAATTCGGCCAAAATTTTCACGAAATTATGGGTTCGGAATTGTTTGAAACATTTTGCCCACTCCACGAAAGGCCCCGCCATTTTGAAAAGGATCAAGCAGCTCATTAATATTCTATTTTGTGGCTATCGACGATTGGAGATCCGAGAACAGAGCCGAAACCTATACTCGTCGACTTTATGAAAAATATTTTATTTTGAACATTTATTGTTAATTATGAACATTCTAGTTAAATATTTTTTGTTGAACTGTTAATGTTAAATGTATGATTATATATAATTGGTTACACTAGGGGCCTTAAACAAAAGCCCGATGGTTATTAGTAGGCCTCTAACCCTCATTTGTAAATAATATTAATTAATAATCAATGTTAAATTTGGGCGAAATAATTAAATAAAACAAAAATGTAATATTACACTAATTTAATTAACTGTGTTTATCCCAAACCACCCTGCATGTCAACTTTCCCTGTGGGAGGAAACCGGGTACCAAGAGAAATCCCACGGCTTTCGGCAGAGCGTTGATGTCCGTAGCGAGAATCGAACCCACGGATGGTGTTGAAACACTCAACTGTACTTACCGAAGATACATCAAATTAAGTATGCTGCAGGGAACAGGTTAGCTGATCACAAAAGAGCAATCAACGTAATTCAACAACGATTAAACTAAATTATTTATTTATTTTCTAAGAATGAGTTACAGACACTGATTACTGACTCACCGATCATTTGACGTCTTATTATAAGTATAGGTTTAATACAGCTCTACAGCAAATCGTGAGCTAGAGATCGGTTCGGCAGCATGAATGAATCGGCCGCTTTGCCTTCCCGTGAGTGGCTGAGTGCTATAATCCTTTTCAAATAACCCTCCCTGGAGCCGTAAATCGAAATGTGCGTACCTCAACCAATGTAGTCACTCTAATGTTTGCCAGATTGTCAATTACCATGCATGCAGACAAAGTACCTCGTTTAATTTGTTTATCTCAGATTGTATACATTGCAATTCCCTCCCCCACACGGCTATTCTTCTTCGATGTGACGCACGTATACAGTATATACAGGGTGTATAAAAAAATCTGCATGCAAACCCTATAGTTTGCGTAATTCTGCCGCTTACTAGCATTTCAATGTCTGTGCTACTTATTTTGCTCCTGGGATTTGAAAATAATTATAGAATCTGTCTGGAACACCAACATGGCCGCGATGGCTTTTGTTGAGTTGGTCCCTGGAACAGGCGGGAAAACTCTCGTCGCTGACTAAATTTATCGTGGACGCTTTCGTATTGCCAGCAAAAATTGTGAAAACGACAAAAACACAGGTTTCACTACCCTGTTTCTCGTACTGCATGCAACAGAGGAAAAACAAAAGGAAGATAGCAGACGTAAACGTTAATAAACGTTAATCAAGACCACAATTACTTGTTCCAATCGGGAAATTAGCAGTCAAGAATTCTTGGCTGAAACATGGCCGAAAATGACGTTTCTTGCAAAATGTGTGTTTTTAATGGCAAATAATCTCGAGCAGGAACGTAATATTGATGGAATATTACTTTAAATTTGCAGTGCATGCGTTTGTTGTCCAGAACAAAGTATAAATATTTGATTTTTGAGTGATACTCATAGATATCTTATATACACTAGATAGCGCATCTCTTTTAGTAAAGTTGAAACCAAGAATATTCCAGCGGTTACCTCCATTTGAATAGATGGCGGCCATGTTGGTCGTTCCCACTTGCTAATAAACGCTTAAAAACAACAATAACTTTCATCATTTGAATAGTTTGAAAATGTATTTGGAATAGGTTTAACTTAATGTTTAAGTTCCCTGTTTAAGAAATGGAAAACATACGAATCTTCTCATTTCATGGAAACGACCTGAGACTGCAATCACGGCTTCAGTTTTTGAATTGCAGAATAATTAGATGCACTATCTAGTGTATATAAGATATCTATGGTGATACTGTGCGCCAACGGTCATCGTCAAATTCAGTATGTGAGTTATTTTGCTAAAATTGCTTGTTTTTCACCTTAATTTTCTCGTATATCTGGTTGTACAGGTCAGAAGATGTCATGTGCTTTTCTTTCTAATTTTTGCTAAGATAATGAAACTCGCCTAAAAAATGAAGAATGATACTAAATTTTGGCAAATTTCATGTGCGAGTGTTATTTGTACGAAAAAGATTTTAGATTTTCAAAGTTTTTGAAACAAATAAACATGGCAATCAGATTTTTCTATGATCCTCATTTCGAAGCGTAAACTTTGTATTATTTTTAAACACAATTTTCGCTTGTCCAAAATGCAATAAACTGTCATGTTACAGTTGTGCCAACGAAATGTCGCGGTTTCACATTAAATCTCAAAGCATTTTTAAGTCGGTGTTATATTTCTAGGCTTTGTAAAAAATGAAGAAGTGTTAATATTTTTGGTTTGAATTTCACATTTTATTGAATCTATTAGACGACATTTTAAAAGGAAATTTTTGCTCTGTTTTGTTTTGCACTGAAATAATCGATATTAATAGAGGAAATCAAAGTATTACTGCAACATTTTTTGTTAGTTAACCCAATTTTTGTGCTGATTTGTGGCCCTAGCTAAACAGCCGCTGCAAAACTATCTTTCGAAGGCTTCGTTCATGTTTTTTCAGGTTTTTTA